GTGGGTAAATTTTCTTTGGTGTTTCCTTAGCGTGGTTTTGTGCGAATGGGGAGTGAGGCATTTGTTGTGATCCACCTTCGATTTCACTTATTCATATGATGCTGTAAAGTCATTGTTTTATTATACTAGTGATTCGGGAGTGTTCATGTGTAATAATCTCTTAAATGATACACCGAGTCTTATTACGTGAATGTACCTTCAACCTACTTAAAAATCAGATAGTTTTAAAAATATCTTGACTTCAGCGAATATATATATATATATAGTTATATATGGGATTTGTTTGTGCTTACTAGAATTTACCTGCTACTACATATATCAGAAATCACATAGGGGTTAATAGGATGTTCACGAGATTCCACTCCCTCATGGTAAACCGATAAGAACATGAGTCAGATGGTTCGTCTGAAATTATTCCAGAGATTTACTTTAAAATGTCTGCGTAAGAATGTTGATTATACAAAGACGAAGATTGTAAGTGAATGAGAATTATACGGACACTATACAACTGACACGAATATCAGTCCTTATTAATTTGGATAAATTCTGGTCTGGAAGTCTTTTGCAGATACATATGACATCTCATGGCTATAAACAGTAGGTTGATTAGTCAGTGACTCCGTGGTATGAGAAGCAGACATTGTACATGTTTATTTAATCACTAGAATTACTTGATAAGATCAACAGTTTGGATGATAGTACCTTTTAAAAAGTAGTACTGAAAGCCTTGCGGTGGTGTAAAGTTAGTCATACTTAAACTTTGTATGGGAGCGTTCAGATGTTTTTTATTGATTGATAATTTAAAACTGCTACTGTATAAATTCGTAATTCAGAATTGTGGATGTTTGTATACTTGATGCTCCTGAAACCATGTATGCACCGTTGAAATGAAAGAAAAACAGTATGGTTCTAATTTAAGAGAAACTTTACAACGAAATTATACTAGCTGTCGCTCTGGAATTAAAGACTCCATACCAAAACATTTCTTGAATGATACTAAAATAAAGACACCCCATTCAGCTGTAATTAATTAGACAAACATAAACATTTTTGTGGCTATTACTAATGGAGCCCAAAATTGTCGATCTAGTCATTGTGATGTTAGAATGCTTATTTATTTCATCACACATTGTTTCTGGGTTGTTTCTCATTCCTGCTCTCATTTTCAAAACCACCTCTTATTGCACGTTAGTAGATTTCAAGGAGTTAGTGAATCGCCTGACTTTCTGTTCGTTTGTCTTTCTAGTACTCGCGTCGACCAAGCAATATATCGCTGCTCACCTGAAGCACGTTTTCCTCACTGCCAAAAACGTGTCGGAGAATAAAACAAGCCCATTAACAATTTGAAGTTGCACCATGTTTTCTGTATTGGTGTCTTGTGGTACATATGATGGTAGTGTTTTCGCGTTAGAATATCTCCATGATACTATTGATATTCCTGGTCCGAAACTGTTAAAACCACTATTCATCGACCCTACAGCACATCCATCGCCGGTCACAACAGTCGCTATCAAAGACGATGTGGTTATTTCTGGAAGTAGCGATGAAATTATTCAGGTTAGTTCACAAGACTTTGCATTTTTATGTATATGCACTGAACAACGTTTTAAGACTATCCCACTGTATTTGTTGGAGTGCATCAAAGTAAGGAGCGACCGAATAATTGTAACCTATTATTTCTCTGCATCGTACCTTTGTTTTCCCGGTTGCAGGGCTATAGCTTTTACCACGTCGAGGCAGTCAGTCGTTGGGCATACGTAACACGTGTCCCAGCCATCTCAACTGATGAAGTTTCACCACTTCATCAATTGATTTGCCATCCTTACCTAGTACCCGTTTCCTAACAACTGTGTTACTTACTCGATGGTCCCATGATATACGAGCAATGTTTCGAAGACACCTATGATCGAATACTAGTAACCTACGAATGTCCTCAACTCTTACCGGCCATGTTTCACTGCCATAAAGTAGGACGGAACGAACTGCTGCGCAGTAAACACGTCCTTTGGTTGATAGACGGATATCTCGCCTACGCCATAAATGACGCAAGTTGGCAAAAGCTAGCCGAGCCTTCTGTATCCGTGCTGAGATTTTGTCACAAACCAGACCACAAGGGCTGATGAGACTTCCAAGATAAGTGAAGCGGTCGACACGCTCAATTACTTCACTCTCTATCATTAGTTCGGGTGTCAATGCAACCCAATCCTGAAGCAACATTTTGCATTTCGAGGGGGAGAATCACATCCCGAACATGTTTGCATTGTTGCTTAGAGTGGTCAGAAGACTGCATTTTGTCAGCGTTTTCACCAAATAAAACTATACCATCAGCATATTCTAAGTCAACAAGTGAACCTCTCGGTAGAAGTTCAACCCCTTTAAATGAGGAATGTGTTATCTCTAAAAGTACGTCAATGACAAAGTTGAACAAGAATAGAGAGAGTAAACAGCCCTGTCGAACACCACTTGATGTAAGCAATTCTGATGACAGTTCGCCATAAGCTCTCACTCTACCAGTTGTGTTCGAGTAGAGAGCCTTTATAAGGTTAATGTACTTCTTTGGTACTCCTTTCAGTGACAAACACTGCCATAGAACCTTACGATCAACAGAGTCGAATGCCGCCTTAAGGTCGAGAAATACTACCATTGTGGGGCGTCTAAACGTGTGTCTGTGTTCTAGAACCTAACGTAGTGTGAATATTTGATCTATACAACCACGTCCAGGTCGAAAACCGGCCTGATTTTCTCTAGTCTGTTCTCCACGAGCTTTGGTTAGGCGTCGAAGTATTATTGAGGTTAATATTTTAGACACTATATTAGTCAAACTGATTCCTCTATGATTGTCACAAGAGGACTTTTGTCCTTTCTTATAGACTGGCACAATCAGTGATTGAGACCAGTCAGATGGGATTAGGTCCAGTTCCCAAATTCTACCTAAGACCTCGGTTAATCTCATTGCTAATACTGGACCACCATCCTTAAAAATCTCAGGAGTAAACCTGTCAGGGCCTGCTGCTCTCCCTCGTTTCAGATTTCCTATGGCTTTTTCAACTTCGTAAAGAGTCCGAAGACCTACATTAACTTGCCATTCAGGTTGACTGGGGATCGTGGGAAACCGAGGTGTGGCTGAAGGCCAGTTGAACTGATCCCTGAAGTGTTCTGCCAATCGATCCAATCTCCTGGATTGGGAATGAATAATATGTCCATCTTTCTCTAAGATTGTTTCGCTAACAGCCAGTTTCCTTAACGAGTCTGAACAAGTGTCTGCTATTACCTATTGCCGCTGCCTTTTCGATCTCTCTTGCTTTCGCTACCGACCACTGTTCACGATCATTGCGTAGACTTCTTGTCAGCTTGCGCTTAAGCTGACTCCGCTCTTCATTATGTTCAGAGTCAGGTGAAATGAGTTTCCTGTTTATTATGGTGACAAATTTACAGTTGGGAGGAAAAACAAGTTCCGATGATCGCCAGAAGGCTATTTCTCATCAGATCAGCAAATTATTTATTATTGTGTAGTGATTTTTTGCAATAGTAACAGAAATTTCAATTTTGTTTTTTAGGTATTTTCAGTACACACCAAAACTCGTGTAGGTGCACTCGAAATGCATGTTGGGACCATAAGACAGCTTAAATTTACTACAGAATCGCATGACTCGACGTACTGTCATTTCTTCAGTGCTGGTGATGATGGATGTATTGGCATCTGGCGTTGCGAAACCACAGGAGGTAAACTTACCAAATGCCCACATCCATCGGCTTGGGAGTGTATTCGTCAAATTCGTCGCCATAAAGGGTCAGTCCAAAGTATAGCAGTGCACCCTTCCAATCGCTGTCTTTTCTCCATCAGTGCAGACAAAACGTTTCGTGTATGGAATCTTCTTCGTGGTCGACAGGCTTATGCTGTTAGACTGAAAAATCTGGCAAACGAGGCAAATAAAATCTCAATGTCACCAACTGGTAACCGTCTTCTTTTTATTTGGCCGAATAAATTTGAAATGATTGATCTTGTCAGCGAATCGCAGACAAGTCCTGATACCATCAAAAATGAAGCTTTCATCCTTGGCAGCGTCCAGTTTTCTAATCCCCTTACTTCAGACCCTACTTTCTTCAGTGAAGATGATGAACTCTGTAGTCAAAATTCTTCAGACCCCCTGTTTGCATATGTAATGGTCGGCATCGACGCATCACTTACTTTAATTAAATTCAACGTTCGAAATAACGCGTCTGAGTCATGGACACCTAAAGTTACAAGCAAAGTAGTTTTGCCGGGTAAACGAATCAAATTCATTCAAGTTCTACACTGGCCTTCTCATCTGGAAGAGAAAGAACCAATGTGCTCTGGACGTAGTCGGTTGGTAGTAGTTGTTACGACAGAAGCCGATGGTAGCCATGTACGAGGTTATGCTGTAAACCTCAACTCGACAGATATACTTGAGCCCGGAAGGTCATTCATCCCTTTGTTCACATATGACATCCCAAGCGCTCGAATTACCGCCCTAGCTGCCACCTGGACTTCATCAAGTTATATGCATCATTCGGAAGTATGAAGACAAAATTAATCCCTAGTGAAATCGATTTTGAATGACATCTACCTGTACATTTATTATGTAAATAAAATCTCGTAATTTTCCGATTTCATCAGTATTAGTTACATCCAATTCATTAAACATGTAGCCTGACAACGACGTAGATCGCCGAACGTACTTACGCAAAAGTCGACCCATCCTAACTACATATATGTGACAGCGGAAACTTCTGTTTAACAGCATGGGACTGTAGTGGCTGATAAAATAAACAAGAAAACTACTTGCCTCAGACATTGATATTCTTGAATCTATGCACTGTGTTTTGCATATTATAATGATTCAAACATTCCGAACCCAAACAGGTTTGTAGCTAAACAACTCTTTGCCTTTCGGGATTGGGTCACATGCAATCGACTTGCTGACGATTCTCTAGGCTAAGTGCAGTGTCTGCCGCAAAATTGGGGCTTTTTTATAACCAAGGCCAAATAGATGTATTAGGCATCTATTCACTATGCTGAGCTTTAGTTTACTCAACAGCTTCCTTCAATCATGGACAAATGTCAAGAACTAGATGGAATGTGCACGTGTTTATGTTATTGAACCATGTTTAAATGAAGTATGTTTCCCCGCACCAGTTTACAATTGCTTTTAAAAAGCATTAAAAGCGTTTCTAACATATATTTATGTCGAGGATAATAAATAAAGAATCCATTGTTGGCGTTCACAACAAATTAAGTAACCTGTGTTATAGTAAAACAAATTACTTTAGAAGATTCATAGCTTTTCTGAATTCATACCCAACTTCTCATCTTGGGAACTAATTACCCTAAAAAAGAACTACAAATTCATACACTCAAAGAAATATAGCTATTATATTTAGCTATGTTGCGTTTCAAAATATCTGAACACGGACCCATGACTCGTTCAAATCGTTTGCGGTCAAGTTTCACGCAACGTAGAGTACCTTGGGCAACAACAGTTGCTGCACGTGGTCGATCAAGCAGTAAAGCAATCTCACCTATGTAAAATAAGTTTGAGAAGTCAAATAATTAAGTGCGTAAAAAATTGGTAATATATTTAATTCTAACAGAAATTGCTAACAATACGACTTTTTACGGTGTTGTTACTGTATGAAATCTAGGTGTATTATTGGGGAATATATACCAATGTCTTTCAAGGGGACAAGTAACTGATAGTTTTGCGTTACGATTTATGAGCTAAAATATTCTCCGATTATTCAAATATTAGATTCTAGAAATGTACCACTTTCTAATGTTTACATCACTTGATTTAGTAGCGACTTATGTCACAAAATGGGCGAATTCAGGACGATTAGATGTAATACGACTAACGAGTGATAGCAGAAAGTCTTACTGTCCTCAACTTAACCAGAAATTCTTTAAAGTAACAAGCCCGATATAGTTCGATGAAATAAAATAGTAATACGAACAAGCAATTTTTAGGGACATGTCGCTTTGCCGGAATTTCTCTTCAGTGTGCAAACAGAAGAAAAACTGAAAATGCTACTAAACAGCAGTTTGACTGAACACTAGAAGTTGATTTACAGTCCAGTGCAAATATTGTAACCTGTTACACATCTTAGATTAAATTCACTGTATCTATGACTTCCAAATATAGACTCGAAATGCTCTCACATGACCACGCGTATACAGCCACTCCTAGGGAAGTCCTACTCATCGCCTTCTCGCAGCTGGGGTGTTGTTTACGAAATTGACAGGATGAAAAGCGAATGTCCGGCGCTTAAACCGGGTTGGTGGACACGGAGGACCCAGCTAAGGGAGTTGGAAAACCCTGATCCCAAACCACTGGTGCACATGGGCTCCAGGATCATGATGGAACAAATGGCGTATGAACCAACTATATTGACCACCTGCTACCATGGGACTGCATCTCCTGGCGTTGCTCCACTGCCTTGTGGATCACACCTTTAGGCCGATCTGGATATCCGAGTAGTATCACAGCCCACACACAAACCAAGTGACTTGTGTGGTGCACATGTATTCAGTGCCCCTTTGTATCAATATTTATGTGTTTAAATAAATAAATAGAAACCGGAAAATCAACAGTGAGTTGTGCCGAAAATAACATCTAAATCGAGTATTATTTCCATAAATATACGCATATCAGGGAAGTCAAGCAGTTTTCCGCCAGAATAGAATTCGTTTAGTCAAAAAATGTAGCCCACTCATTAAACCAAGCCCTATATTTTGAGTCAGTTTTTTATTCAGATAAGTGACGTATTTATCGAAATGCACCAGTAAAATACATCAAGGACGAGGTCGTATGTTTATTTTACTAGTAAGGCATCCTTAAGTTAAACACTACTTTGTCAAAATAAGCTACTACACTACTTATTTATCGGCTAGATAATTAATTTTATAACAACTTGTCTTTATCTAAACTTTCTAGCTAAACTCTACCATAAACTCTTCAGATGATTTTGGCGGTTCGAACTCACCGAGAGGTTTTCTGTTTTTTCGATTACATGTGGTTTATCATATTACCTGGAATAACGTGTTCTGAGGTTTATTAGGACGAAAACGTTTTATCTTCATCAGATTACACAACAAATGAATGGCTCGATAGTAAATAATAACTGGTCTCTTTTACATTCAACGTGATTAAATTATCAATGAGTACCAATACTTAACAAAGATAAAGGTGAACAGTACAATATTGGTTGATCCGAAGTAATGAGTCAACGATCAACTAATAACAAGTGCGCAGGAAAATTCCACAATATGTTAGGTACTTATGAGTAACATACTTTAGATTGCACGAATCTAAGTCCTTTTTGTCTTGCACCTTACTGTAATGGAAGACGCAGTTTCTAAAATACCAGTCCACAAACTTTTGTAAATGTCAATGTTTACTCCACTCCGTCCCAGCATTTTTGAGTGCATTTACAATTTGCTCTTCAAGATTCTTGTAATTTACCTGGATTCACGAATGAAAGGATAAAAACTATTGAAACTCGTTTATTTGTTTAAGCGTTGAACGACCTGAAATATATTGACTTTCATTCAATTAATATAAATTAGGTGTATGATTGCTTTCACATAACAGAGTAGACATGGTTATACTTTAAAGACCTAAAGAATTATCACTTTCGTTTAATGAATTCGAACTAGATTGTATTCTAATTTCGTACTTTAAACTACAGATTTATGGTTAAAAAAGCAGTCGATAATGTCCAGAACTCTAGATTGTAATTATTATAAATTATTTGTGGTGAGTGCTAAGTTCCGAGTGTTTAATGAAATGTATAGCTTCACGACGTAACAAGCGTTAAATTATGTGTTCGATACATTATGTTAAGCTAACAACTTATACAAATTCTTCAAACAAATAAAACACTTACCAAAATAGTCTGATGGTCTTAATTTACCGACTTCAACTTGTTCACCCGATTCAGACGGCCTTTGCAAAACAGCAGCTGTACCCTAAGAAGAAGAAATTAAACAAAAGCAGTAATTATAACACAGCTTCAGTTTATTTATTATTCTGACATAAACCACAAAAAAAGAACCTAAAAATAAGATCAGTCAGTCAACTACAACATGGGACCAGGCATATATATGCATCGGTACAAGTTGCCATACCTCATTGACACACCAAGATGAACACCAGATTCATAAAAGCATTTAATTCAGAGGTGGTAATATATAAAGAAAGATAGTGTTATGACCTTGATGGCTGGCTTTTCTATCACGCGATTTATCGACCAGTCAGAATACGATTTATACAATTTCGCACTATGCCAAACCAATGACTTTCAACCAGTATGAGCAGTTTAGCGTCCTTATTGGTCCTATATCCTCCTATCCCTTCCACTTGAGTCCAGAACACAATATCAGATTCTGTAATATGAATCGAATCGTTTATTTTAGACATAGTCTGTTTATATACTAATCAAACAAACCACATCGTACCATAAAATAGAAAACAACATTTGTACAATATTTGACAAGTGAAATAAATATTGACCAATAGAAAATGTCCATTTAATATCCAAGGTCACCATTAGACTTAACATGATAATTATTAGATAATTATACAATAAGAATATTAGTCTATTAACAGTCCTCGGAAGTCACTTGTAACTTAATCCTCACTGGGTTATAACAGATTGCATATAAGGATATAATACAGGAAGAAAGAAAGATATGAAGCGATTTTAATCTCTTAGTTTCAGGGAAGACAGAGAGTTTGTACACCTACGCCATTGTGATCGATTCTGAGGCATTTCACCAAGAGTCTCCAACCATTGGTTACGATAGTCACGCGGACCCCAACCAAGTAGTTTGCATCTACCAACATGACTCAGAATAGAAGTTAGTGACTTCAAGCACTGATGTCACGTTTTGGTTTGGCCGCCCCTAACTTTCTATCTATCTCCAACACCAGTCAGCATTGCGTTCCGTGGTAATCGGTGTTCAGGCATGCTTAACACGTGGCCCAACCATCTCATTCGATAAAGATTCACCTCATCAACTGATTTACCATCATTTCCTAATACCCTGAGTCTAACCTCACTATTACTTACCCGGTGATCCCAGCAGATACGAGCAATATTTCTAAAACATCTGTGGTCAAATACTAGTAACTTACGAGTGTCTTCTATCCTCAATGGCCATGTTTCGCTACCGTAAAGTAAAACAGAATGGACTGCCGCACAGTATACTCGTCCTTTTATTGATAGACGGATATCTCGCCTTCTCCATAGGTGACGTAAGTTGGCAAAAGCCAAACAAGCTTTCTGAATCCGTGCTGAGATTTCGTCAGACACCAACCTATTAGGGCTGATCAGACTTCCAAGATAACTGAAGTTGTCGGCTCGTAGTCTACTCCCTATCCTCAGTTCAGGTGTTGACGCAGGCCAACCCTGGAGCAACAGTTTGCATTTAGAGGGGGAGAAACCCATACCAAACATCCTGACATTGTTGCTTAGTGCTACTAGAAGACTGCATTCTATCAGCGTTTCACCAAACAGAACTGTATTATCTGAGCATCCATAGTCGATAAGTGGACCTCCTAGTAGATCAATACCCGAGAATTCAGTCGACGAGAATGTTATTTCCATCAATAGGTCTATGATGAAGTTAAACAAAAATGGAGAAAGTGGACAGCCTGGACGGACACCACTTGAGGTTGCGAAAGTAGATGACAATTCGCCATAAGCCCTGACTCGACTAGTAGTGTTCGAGTAAAGAGCCTTTACAATGTTTATGTACTTCTGGGGTACGCCTTTCAATGACCGACACTGCCACAGAATCTCGCGGTATACGGAATCAAATGCTGCTTTTAAGTAAAGAAAGACCACCATTGTCGGACGCCGATAAGTATGCCTGTGTTCTAGAACCTGACGAATGGTGAATATGTGGTCGATGCAGCCACGACCAGGTCTGAAGCCAGCTTGGTTCTCTCGTGTTTGCAGTTCACGAGTCTTAGTTAGGCGTTTGATAATTATCGAGGCTAGTATTTTAGATACTATATTTGTTAAACTAATCCCTCTGTGATTGTCACAGGATGATTTTGACCCTTTCTTATATATTGGGACGATCAGAGATTGTGACCAGTCAGATGGAATAACGTCTAACTCCCAGAATTTAGCTAAAATATTAGTCAACGTAATCGCTAAAATTGGACCACCATCCTTAAAGACCTCTGGAGCTAATCCATCTGCACCAGCTACCTTTCCTCGTTTCAGATTAACTATAGCCTTCTCAACTTCTGCTAGAGTTAAGGGACTTAATTTAATGTTCCATTCACATTGTCTGGGAATGAAGGGTAGTTGTAGAGTAGCTGAAGGCCAGCTGAACTGTTCTCTGAAATGTTCCGCCCATCGTTCTAAACGTCTGGACTGAGAGCAGATAAGTGTATCGTCTTTTTCCGAAATAGTCTCACTTACACTTGACTTATTTATTCCAGTTTATTTTATTAGTCTGTAGAGCTGTCTTGTGTTCCCTATAGCCGCCGCCTTTTCCATCTCTTTTGCTTTCGTTGCCCACCACTTTTCACGGCCGTTCCTTAGACGTTTGCTTAACCTAGATCTGATTTGTTGTCGCTCTTCATCGTGTTCAGAACCTGATGGGATGAGTTTGCGAGAATCCATCAGTGCAATAGACCGTGAAGAAATCCATTGGTTCTTTGTAACCCTGTGGTTTAAAACACTGATAGCTGTCATTGCTGTTTCCACAGCTGCTTGTATATCTTTTCAAGCAACATCTGGGTCAGCCTCGTTTTCAGAACCAAATAAGTGTGACCTCAGTTGTTTCTAAAACCTACTTTTAGTTTTCTCGTTACTCGGTTCAATTCTAATGGGTCTTTTTAGTGTGGCTTTTTTGCGTCCAGTGAGGCGCAAGCAGATGCGTGCCCGTATTAGGGCATGATCAGAGTCTAAGCACGTACACCAGAATGAGCGACAATCTTCTACCGACCCTCTCCAACGATGACTGATGGCAATATGGTCTATTTGACTCCATCGTTGGTTTGGTGTAGGGGGTCGCCATGTTAGACTATGTCTTTCCTTACGCCTAAAATTTTTGTTTGCTAAAAATAAACGATTGTCTGTGGACAGTTGCAGCAGACGACCACCATTATCTGTTCGTTGTGCCGGAATACAAAAACACCCACCTAAATTCCTTTCTGTTTGGTTTAAACTACCTATCTGGGAATTAAAGTCACCTGCTACGAGTACTATGTTTGAATGTTTAGCTTTCTGAAGAAGTTCAGATAACTTTCTGTAAAATTTATCTTTCACTTCATCTGAGACGCAGTCGGTGGGAGCGTAGGCAGAAACGACAAAAAGGCAAGGATGTGTGTCCGTATCCTTCCGAGTTCTTACGGAGCCGTTTAGCCGAACAGCACATAAACGACTGTTAATGGGGATCCACTCTAACAGAGCTTGTTCCGCCCCCATGCTTAGTGCTAACCCTACTCCTGCCAATCCACGAGCTGGCCGTCAGGCCACCAGATACACAGAGGGTGTATCTTGTTAGCTCTCCGTTTTGCCGAGGTGAGCGTCAGGCGAATGACCACACTGGGATCGTGTATGTGTGTTTCAGAGACACAGCATACATCAATGATACGAGATTTTAGGATTCTAGCCAAGGAAGCCTGCTGACCGATTTGACATAGGGTGCGTACGTTGAAGGCTCCGATGCGTAGTTTGGAGTGAGGTTTCAGTAGACCTGGGACAGTGTTTTGAGCACTAGAATCGTTGGCTATGGTGACATTTGAGGAAGAAACCGAAAGAAAAAGTTTAGCGTTGAAAGTCGAGGTAGTAGGAATAATAAGAATTAAAGAGGGAGGTTGATTATGAATACAGTGGTCTTGAGTGCTGTTAGAGGTATGAGGGCGGTTATCACTTACCGGTTGCCCACACCGTGGGAGGGTTCTTCTGGAGGTACCTGAAAAGAAAATTTGATTAAAGGTGGTCTTTGTGACTTGAGAGCGTGACCGCAGTGCCCAAGAGACAATTGCTTGAGGCCAGTCACACACGACCTTTTTATGAGTAATTTTCATGTTAGCTCCGTACTTGTTGAGACCTTACCTCCGGAGACGGATATCCGTGGGATAAGGCGAGGTGTTCATTTTTAGGGTCGACCTTTTCTAACCCCACCCCTCCTTGTGGGAAGGCAGCACCGCTGTCATGCTGGTTGTCTGAAGGAAACACCTTACTGATGTCACACCTCTGTACAGTCAGCAGTACGACTTCGCCTTCGAACCTTAGGTTTGTTGCTTTTAGTCTTACCGCTCTTCAACCGACCTGTCTGACATGGTAGGACCTTGAGGAACGGTTGTTCCAGCCAGTATAGCTCGGTTGCTTCATCACGATAAGCAAGCCCGACCACCACGTCAAGGTAGCAACAACAACGGTCGGGCAAAAATAAGATGGTAGAATTAAAAGTTACAGCAACTTGAAAATCCAGTTTTCATTAGCTTTGTTACTCCAATTCTTTTCCTGTTCACCATTTTCAATGACTACTACAGAGATTTAAGCAAACCTCTTTGCTTATAACGTTCAGGACTATCTAGAATGAATAGTTCGCGTGAATATGTGAGATTCAACGATTGTTCCTAAAGCTCAGTCACAGATAATGTCATTCCCGCTGTTGTTTTTAATACAATAGCAAGCTGCACAAAGCTTAGGTGTTTAGACGATTGCATAGTCAGTCCCTCCATGAACAAACTTATCTTCGAACCAGAAATACAAACTTTTCCTACGCAAGTTGCTTCAATGCAAAAAGTGAATATAAATGGTCCAGAAATATTACCAACCACTTAGTGACTGATTCCGATGATGACAAGTAACATTACCACACAACTATGTATAGTCCTGTTTCAGAATTGTAACAAAATGGAAACTGTCTTTGACCAAGCAAAAATACGGTTTCTGGTCAGATTAAGACGGTTGATTAATACTATCAGATCTTTAGACCAGTACAGTCAAGCTTCTGCCACTGTTAGATTCGAGAACAGCTGGGTTTCTATACAAAAATGCTGAACCACATCACAATATAAGACAGAAAATAAATTACACACAAACAAGCTAAAAGTGGATGTGAATAGAATGAGCTGGGGAAAACTGATTGGTAATAATTTAGAAACAATAGGCCTCATAATAATAGTTTCCAGGCCAAACAGAATATAAAATAAAGTAATTCGGTCACTCAGTAATCATACAATAATGATACATATAATATTAATCCATAAAGCAACTCCACCTGTAAGTCTTCTAGAGCTACCGCTGGTCCCAAACCCGGGTAAAGCAGGAGGGTTGCGCATGGGGTCGGCAACCCCATCCCGTAGAAAACAACCTTGCTAAAGACACCAACCAGAACAAACAAATTAAAACATTTAAGCTCTGCCCTCCTAGCTGAAGGAAGAACTATGACGTCTCACGATGAAAACCAAGATACTTCGAGAGTCATTAGACCGATGTCCCTTCTAATAACCAAAGCAACAGTTTTTATAGGTAAATGGAACGCCCGCACAATGTGGGAGACCGGAAGGACTAGTCAAATAACAACGGAAATGAGGAGATACAACTTGGCAGTACTCGGAATCAGTGAAACTCATTGGACCTAAGCTGGACAGAAAAGGTTAGATATGGGAGAGATGTAGCTGCACCGAATATCAAGATATCGTGGGACGACATGGACTGGGAGAGAAACGAAAATGGGGAAAAATTTTCAAGCCTATGTGCACTCAACAAATTGGATATAGGTGGCACAAAGTTCCCACGCAAACGCATACACACAGCTACATGAGTCTCACAGAAGAATCAGATAGATCATATTTGTATCATTGAAAAATTCAGAAGGACAATGGAAGACGTGAGAAGCTGACAGACTGGAAAGAAAGACGCCTCATCAAAAAACCAAAGAAAGGGGATCTGAGCAAATGTGAGAACTACAGAGACATCACACCACTGTCAGTACCAGGAAAGATTTTAATAGAGTGTTGCTCAACCGGATGAAAGACGAAGTAGATGCCCAACTTCGAGATCAACAGGCGGGATTCCGTAAGGACCGGTTGTGCACAGACCAAATCACCACACTACGGATAATCGTTGAACAATCAATCGAATAAGGCTCGTCACTATACATCAACTTCCTTGAATATGAAAAAGGGATGGACAGTGTGGATAGGAGAACATTATGGAAACTTCTTCGACACTATGGAGTGCCTAAAAAGATCGTCCGGAGAACATCACCTGAAACTCGTATGACGAACTACAGTGCAAAGTCGTGCATAGAGGACAGCTAACAGACGCTTTCCAGGTGAGGACCAGAGTCAAACAAGTATACTTACTATCTCCCTTTTTCCTTCTTCCGGTAATCGAATGGATTATGAGGACCTAGAAACCTGAGAGGAAACACGGAATACAACGGACACCTCGCAATCAATCAGAACATATAAACTTCGCAGATGACCTGGCCCTTCTATCACATGCACACGAAAACATGCATGTCAAGACAACCAGCGTATCAGAAACCTCTGCATCAATAGGCCAGAACATATACAAGGGAAAATCCAAGATTCTCAAATACAACACAGGACACCAACCCAATCACACTTGATGAAGAAGCTCTGGAAAATGTGGAATCTTTCAAGTATCTGGCCAGCAGCACCGTCGACGAACGTGGAGGGTCCGATGCAGACGTAAAGGTGAGGATTGGCAAAGCAAGGGCGGCATTCCTACGACGGAAGAACATATGGAATTCAACACAACTGTCAACCAATATCAGTCACAATCCTCAATACGAACGTCAAGATAGTTCTACTGTACGGAGCTGAAACTCGGAGAACTACTACGCCCATCATCAAAAATGTACAAGTATTTATAAGCAGAACGCGGAAGAACACACTGTGTCGGGAGTCAGAAGCAGACATGAAAAGGATGAATAGCAACTGGAAAAGATTTTCCAGCACAGGGTTGGATGGAGAGTGCTGGTGGGTGGCCTATGCTCCTCCACGAGTGATAGCGGGTATAAGTAAGTAATCCATAAAGCAGTTATAGTAATTACCATTCTTCCAGTCTTCGTTCCGATGCATCACATATTATATGACCAAGACGCTTGGAAGGAAATATGATAAAGCAAAGATATAATTTGCGAGCGAAGAAGCAAAACTAGCTAATGAGGCTTAAGAACAACAGAACGAGCAGGTATTACACTTCGAAGGGCTCTTGACTAGACCAGGACCGCTAAGCTCACTGGATATTGAGGTGACACACAGAGACCTACCTGTAGATGATAACCCACTAACAGTAGAAAAATCTAGAGAATTCATCAGACGAGCCAGGAATGGTAAAGCAGAAGGATCAGACAGCACACCAACCGAGGTGCAGTGTCAAGTATGGAATAAACTGTGAATGTATTTTTTGTTCTTTCCAGAAAGATTTGAGGTGAACAACACATAACAGACTGGAAAGAAGGACGCTTCTTTTACATACCAAAGAAAGGTCTTAATATTTATCAGAACACACTGTCTGTACCAGTCACGGATTTCAAAAGTGTTACTAAACCGAATGAACAATCAATAGACACTTAAATTACAGATCAACAACCTGTCATTCATAAAGATGGGTCATATACGGATCAAATCGTGACACGTTGGATCATTGATGAAGAGTTTATTGAATGAAACTCATTGCTACAAACTTACTCCCTCTACATTCACAAGGAAAAAAGCAAAATTCTGAAGCACAACACACAGAGCACCGACCAAATCACACTTGATGGAGAAACTCTGGAAGAGGTGGAAATTTTCACATACCTGAGCAACATCATCGAAAAACCAGGAGTATCTGATGCAGATGTAAAAGCACGATTTGATACTACAAGGGCAATATTCCTACAACTGAAGAATATCAGGAACTCAAAATAACTACCACCCAATACCGAAAGAGGAGTCTTTAACATTAACGTTAGAACAATTAAATAGTATAAAGCTGGAAATTAGAGAACTGCCACCACCATCACCAAAAGAGTAAAAGTACTCAAACAATTGTCGATGTGAAGTACACCAAACCCAACAGACAGAGATCATAAGTGATAACCTACAGTGGAAGAGAACTAAGAAGCTCACAGTTGACAAGAATAGAAAAGACACTGAATGTGTATGGAATACACTTTCATTAAACTATCAAACTGTATGGAAAAGCAAACACCAACCTTGAATCCCCAAGACAAAAGAAGAGGAAGATCTGAAGACATAGCGCCTGGAGTCGGACGCCGAAATCATGATTATGAATAGCACCTGGTAACAACTGAAAAGGAAAACCCAGTACAAAGTTAATTGGAGATCTCTGGTTGACAGTCTATGGTTTAAGAAGGGAAAACAAACTTCAGTTAGTACATCAGTACGGTTTGTGATATTATGAACATACTTTATGGGATTTCGCAAAGCATATCACTCAGTTTGGAATGATGTCAGTAGGTTTGCAGATTCTAAATATCTAATATTATGTCAATAACAAATGGCAAAACGTATTAGTCACAACAAGAAACAAGTATCTTGTCTTAAGAAGTAAAGAACTGTACCTCTGTAATAATAAAGAAGTCATCACCATGTTCACCTTGACGAACAACAACTTCACCATCTTCGAAACGGACTGGTTCGAGAGCATCTGCTACAGTTAGTCGTTCCCATTTGTCAAGATTATCTATAATGAAAATCAAAGATACCATATATATATATATATATATATATATATATATATATATATATATATATATATATATATTGCTTAGTTTGCTTAGTTTGCAGCTAACATCACGAATCGACTTTGTCTAAGGAACGAAAACCAGAAATACATATAATCATCTTGCTCTTGTATGTGACTCAACATGTGTTTTACCCTACGCGTATCAGGCATTTAAGCGAGCACGTTGACTCCAGACTACAGACTTAACATCCAAAAGCGTAGATTTTTAATTTCATTACGTTCACGAGCATCCGTTGAACAATATGAGAAGATATGAAGCAATTATTATTGATATTTACTGCACATTCCCGAAATGAACTGCTTAGTGGGTTTTTGTTATTTCAGAAGGTAGTGTAAACAAACTTAGATTGTATGGCTTTAAGTTTCTTTAGTGAATCTAATCGACATAGTAGTTACAAACACTACGGATAGTCAAGTAATTTATCAAGTCGCAACAACTGGAAGTAATTTTAGATTGTAATGCTCTCGAACTGATCATGTGTTGATCCGATAATAGTTGTTGAAATAACACTAGAAGTATATAACCGTCTCTACCTTAAAATAATTCAGAAAAACGGATGTCTACCACAACGCCATGACGTTTATATTCTATAACTCAAAGACGCACGGATTCAGAAAGCTCGACCGGCTTTTGCCAACTCGCGTCAATTGTGGCGTAGGCGAGATATCCGTCCGTTAAACAGACGACGAGTTTACTGCATATCAGTCCTCTTCGTTCTATTTAATGGGTGGAACATGACTTTTAGGAATAGAAGGTATTCGTTGGCTAGATGTCTTTGGAGCATCGTTTTTATATGTTGGGAACACCGAATACAAATTGTCAGAGTTAGTAACAGAGTACCAGGCAAAGATGGTAAATAGATTGATGAGGTAGTAAATCTTCCCCAACTGAGATGGTTGGGACATGTTACGCGTACTCAACCACCGCCTACCTCGACGAGCGATGTTGTGCAGTATGGTAGTAAGTTGGAAGAAAACTAGGGGTGGCTAAACCAAAACATGGCATCACTCCATGAAGTCATTGACAATTGCTCTGAACTATGTTAACACGTGTAGACTACCTGATTTGGGTTCGCGTGATTGTCGTAAACAGTGGTAAGAAAATTGAATGACATGGCTCAAATCGTTCACAATAGCGCAGGTGCATCGACTCTTTACCATTCTTCCTATCACGAGCTTCTGAATTCGTCATAACTTTTTTGTTTCACCAATTTATATCTTGAATCATATCTTTGATGCTTAATCTTTCCTATCACCACTGATACTGTTACTAATTCTCCTACTCTGTGATTTGACATAATAATTTTAACTTGCTGTGATAGTGAGGTGAGGCAATTTGAAGCGATGTACATACGTGCCAGGTTCTACGTTGCGTTTGACTGACTGGCCATCTGTCGATTCGAACAGCTTGTTTCATGTGCATTTATTCGGCAACCTTGTGGCATCTTCGTTCGGTTTTTCTGGCTTTGGTGTCACCATATATGCCATGTTAGAATCAGCACCCATCGATTGGATCTCCATTAACACCGGGTTATATACTGTTAGATTAGAAAGCTTCATCAAAGTAAGAAGAAATCGGTATGGAAAACTATATCTTTTAGTCATCTCCGCCTACACCCCGACATTTTGCAGTCCCAACGCTATCAAGGATGAGTTCTACCACAAGTTAAATGGTCTCAAGAAAGCCCATTCGACAAATATTGTAGTACTAGCCTGAGATTTGAATGCAGAAGCCAGGCGTCTAGACACAGAGGAGAGTTGTTTGGGTGGCCAATGAGGACTCGGTCTCAGGTCAGATAACGCCGACTGTCTCCTACAGTTTTGCACAGACCACAATCTGTTTCTGGTCAGGATCAGCTTTCAGTAAAGTCATCCCCATTGTGCCACCTGGTGCCATCCCTCTGCAACCTAAGTCTAGACTCAGACCGATCACATCACGACCAGCCGCCGTTGGAGTGGTTGCCTTATACCTATGTTTCTACGAACTAATTCTTTCTTCCTGTATTATATCCTTATACCCAGTCTTCCTTTTATATATTACTACCATTGAAGTAACTACTTCTATGAATTCGGTGTTCATCTTGTTGTGCTAATGAGGTGTGGCAACTTAGACCGATGCATATATATGCCTGGTCCTATGTTGTAGTTGACTGACTGGAGTGGTTGTGTACAAGGCTGGCGCCCCTTTTTGAGTACTTATCTGAACTTTGGACGTTTCAGTGGTCGGTAAATTCATTGTCGTAGAAGAGATAATGTAAGCAAACCTACTGTAACGCCAATCGTAAAACATATCAAACCTAACTAGATTCAAGTCTAGCTGTCAACCCACCGAAAAGTGTAGATGAGCACTGACTGCACTTACATAATGCTATGAAAATGGCAAGTAAAGTCTCTTGTGGCTACGCAAAACTCCCCATACATAGGCACTAGGTTTCTACAGGTTCCCTACAATTCCTCGAGGCACGTCTGTCTACTTCGGTCAACCGAAAGTTTGACGATAAACGTAGATTCTTGCGTAGTGAAATTGTGCGAAGTTTATGTAAGGACCGTGACGCCCGGTTGTCTGGGTGCTTCAAGGAGTTGGAAGCAGCAGATCGATACGGAAGCTGTTCCAACCCACCCGAGGTACTGGTAACGAGAAGTCTGTTGTGAATGAAATAATCTGTGAAGCCGGTGATACTTCTGTTGGTAACACTCAACGGTATTTTGGACAGTGGACAGGGTTTTTTTGAGGAACAATTTGGCTGGTCTGTCACCCCAACAGCATCGCTTAGATATTTGTCCTTCCTAGTCGGTGACGACTGTCCCCCCAACGAGGCGGAGGTCTCCAAGGATCTCTCGCTTGTGAACCGCCATAGGTCATTAGGGTCAAAGGATCTATCCCAGATTCTTTATGAGGATAGCGGTGAACTTCTGACTGAGTTGTTTGAAAATATATGGGAAACAGACTATACTCCTTGCTCTTTTTCTACCCTACTATGTTATGTGTGTGTCTGTGTGGCGGACTCTATTTATATGCACAGTCGTATTAGAACTCTCATTTGTAATTAAAGACATAAAGTAACTGGAGCGTGATCTAACTTTCTACCTATAAGATGGACATAAATGTGCAGATCATGCCTACATTGTGATATAATGTCTGCGTAAATACGTTCATTTGCTTATGTTTATCTATGCGTGTTAAAGTCTTGCTTATTCAACCCAATTACTTCGTTTGCCTAGTATTTTTCGGACACTAGTCTACTCAACTGGTTCTTGTATCAGAACACGGCTTGTACAGGAACGTAATTATATTCTAAAGCAAAACAGCAAGTTAAATAAGGTGATGTTACAATAAGAATTCATGTTTACGATTTTTACACAGGAAGATTCTAAAGTCTTCGCCACTCATCCACTAGCTCTGGTGGGCCCACTTTGTCCAATTTAAGTTAAAGACTTTATAAATTGGAAAAAGCTATCCGCTCAACTTATCTTTTACTTTGCAACTTTTTATTCGATTGACTTTCTAAAATCTGGTGTTACATTTATTTAGTGATATATTTGATGCCATGTTCCCTGTACATCGTAATTCAGGCGATGTGATTATTCAGCAAGGAGATGAAGGTGATAATTTCTACATAATCGACCAGGGTGAGGTTGATGTAAGTTGAATATATTAATTTATGAAGTTATATTTTTTTATTCACCTATACGGTTTCTCAGTAAACGTATATCATTATTTGTTAAGAGTTGCACGCTCATCACACTTTGTTAATAAGGAGTAGTGATAACCAAGTGCGAGTAATCCATGTATGGAAAATATTTTACCGCAATATTGTAATCACTATCGACTTTCTTAGACTCAAGTCAGTCAGTCAGTAACAACGTAGAACTTCGTACGTACGTACATCAGTTCGAGTTGCCATACCACATTATCACAGAGATGCCGTGGTCGATTCAAATCCCGTAGTGGTAGAGGTAATAAGAGTATAAGCAGTAATCGGAAAGATTAGTGTTTGGAGATGTTACTTAAAGAGTATAATACAGTGAAATAAACTTGGGAAGAGAAAAAAAGAGACAAGGGGGAATCAGGAGATCAAAATTTGGGAGAACACAAAGAGTGGATGCACCTGCGCCATTGCAAATGATTTTGAGCCATGTCATTTAAGGTCTCTAACCGTCGGTTGCTATCATCTCGCGGTCCCCAACCAGGTAGTCTACACCTACCAACATGACTCAGACCACTTGTCAGTGACTTCATGGATTTGTGCCATGTTTTGGTCTGGCCGCCCCTAGCTTTCTTCCAAACTACTCCTATACCACTGAACATCGCACGTCGAGGCAGTCGGTCGTTGAGCATACGTAACACGTGTCCCAGCCATCTCAACTGATGAAGTTTCACCACTTCATCAATTGATTTGCCATCCTTACCCAGTACCCGTTTCCTAACAACTGTGTTACTTACTCGATGGTCCCATGATATACGAGCAATGTTTCGAAGACACCTATGATCGAATACTAGTAACCTACGAATGTCCTCAACTCTTACCGGCCATGTTTCACTGCCATAAAGTAGGACGGAACGAACTGCTGCGCAGTAAACACGTCCTTTGGTTGATAGACGGATATCTCGCCTACGCCATAAATGACGCAAGTTGGCAAAAGCTAGCCGAGCCTTCTGTATCCGTGCTGAGATTTCGTCACATACCAGACCACAAGGGCTGATGAGACTTCCAAGATAAGTGAAGCGATCGACACGCTCAATTACTTCACTCCCTAGACTCAAGTAGTCAGTGATTTGCCTTGTATAGTTATGTGAAATGTAATATATCATAGACGTGACAAATTTAGTAATTGAGCAGATCAAAACTTAAATATAGTTAACTCATTTCTGTAGAATTAGGAGTTAATATCAAACTGATGGTATGTTAACTCATTTGGGCCTGATATCAAGGGATTTGGAGTGTCTTAGTTAACTGATACATGAGGGTCGGATAACTTTTACATGATCCTATCATTTTAGGATTATATATATTAGAATGTTTGTAATAAAAGACACGAAAGTTCCGTACATATCAGTTCATCGTGAGAATGGAGCACTTTGAATATTGTATATCGTTCCTTATTTTCGACCACACTTATCTTAGAATTTGAATTGTAGTAATATATACAGTCAACTTGTATTCACCAGAATAATTTGTTGACAGTCCTTACAAGTAGGCTTTTTGTATGGTTGTATGGATCCTCTTCTGTAAGGGTGATTTTGAATAAATTCCATGAGAATAAAGAGTTTTGCGCAATAATCCAACGAAGATTGACAGCCCCATCAGCCCTGGCGATTTGTTGTCTGGAAACATATTAACACATTCAGAAAAACCCTCTTGGCCTTTACTAACTTCAATCGCTTATATAGTTACTATTAAGAACAGGTTTATACTGATCATCCTATAGTTTTTCTGATTTTCGACAACCTTCATTTTATAAGTGATATAGACAATGTGCTTTCCGAACACGAGATTTTGAGCGTATTATTATGATGAATATTTTTTGGACTCAGAATCGACCATCTCAATATTTCATAATATTAAAAAAGAATGTTTCATATAAGGATGATTGTGGATATGTTTCACATGCTAAATGAAAGTAATGAATAATAAAAATCTCAGAAAAGTAATAAAATACATACCTAAAATAGGTACACGACATAGGAATTCCTGATACACTTTTCGACGACGAATAGTACTCCCCATCAGTATTCTTCTATAAGAATCTCGATCAATACCCCATAATTTAACTTCCGTTTTCGCTCTAACCGTAGCTGCTCTAGGCGTACCGTAGATGAGAGCTAGTTCACCGAAACTACCTCCTTCCCCGATTGTACTACTATACTCATTATTGAGGAAGATCTATTTAAAAGAAATGATCACAAAATAAATTTGAGAAATAGAAATAATATTAGAAAAAAGTAATCATAATATTCTCGTGAATCTAAAAGCGAACATGAAACCAAATATTAGAACACAACCTTGGATTGAAATACATCAAATCAACGCTATTCTTTATAAGTAAAGTGTCCTTTATGATCTGACTTGAATATGATAGAAGACATAGAAGTATACACTACTAAGTTTTATAGACAGTTGATGTAATTACATTAAAATCTAATGGATCTTGAAAAAAATAAAGGGGTGTAAAAACATCCAAATTACTAAACTATAAACACACTGTAACAGTAAGGGGAAATAAACAGGGACGAAAACTATACTGAAGTCAACAAAAAGATTTAGTAAAGAGCACACAGAAGCTGACATTTAATTTCCTACTCATAGATGGATCACAAATTTATCACTGTCCCCAAATGTCCTGATACGGCCGAGGGTGGGGAGAGTTAGTTCTCCTTCTCAAAATGCCCTCACATGACCACGCGTATACAGCCACTCCTAGGGAAGTCCTACTCATCGCCTTCTCGCAGCTGGGGTGTTGTTTACGAAATTGACAGGACGAAAAGCGAATGTCCGGCGCTTAAACCGGGTTGGTGGACACGGAGGACCCAGCTAGGGGAGTTGGAAAACCCTGATCCCAAACCACAGGTGCACATGGGCTCCAGGATCATGATGGAACAAATGGCGTATGAACTAACTATTGACCACCTGCTACAATGGGACTGCATCTCCTGGCGTTGCTCCACTGCCTTGTGGATCACACCTTTAGGCCGAAGGCTCCAGGCGTGACTCCTTGAGAAAATCACCTGCTTCGATCTGGATACCCGAGTAGTATCACAGCCTACACACAAATCAAGTGACTTGTGTGGTACACATGCATTCAGTGCCCGTTTATACCAATATTTATGTGTTCAAATGTTCTGTGATGGTCAGGATTCAATTGACTCATGATACCAACCACTAAAATTACTATAATATTATTAGCGATCTATCCAATGATCAATTTATTTGAAGTTATAAAGTCAAACCTCAGTAATGGTACTTACAAACTTATTTATGTTATTTAAAAGTGAAACGCTATGCCTACACTATGGCACACGACAGCCTCTTTACATACCATCAACTATCTGTTAAGCTAAAATTGACTATGCCCTTCTAGACATTTTAATTTTTTGTAAAATAAGTCTTTCATTCCTTTAAAATAAGAATTTACTATTTTTACAGCTATTTTTATTTGAGAAGTTATAAAAGTGTTATCCCTTTGATTTATTCCACAACTTTAGATCCTTTTTTATAGTTCAACAAATGATTCAGTGTCTTTTGTTATATAACTTAATCAAATTCATGTGTGGGAAGAACTACATGGTTTTTTAGGTTACGTTAAACCATATTGATAAGTATCCTAATTTTTATAATGAGTCGTTCTGAGTAATCGAAGTGAACAATAGATTAGTTGAGGACTTGTTTCTTCATCATGATATTCACATAGTTTATTATTACTATTCAAGTTTTGCGAGTGAACATCAGTAGATTAAATGAAGTGATTTGTGTCTAAAGTTGCATGTGAGTGTTAATGTCAAGTTATTAATTCTGACAGAAGCAATTTTACAATTTTCAATTCATAATTCAAAACGGTGAAATAACTCGGTCATGTCTGAAGTCCCGTTTAAATATTACTAACACGACATCAATATTTTGGGAATATAACGCCATAACATATGGTGAAATAGGGAACTACAGCCGGTTAATCATTAGCAAAATAGAACCTGGGAAATAAGTGTACCACTTCAGGTTGTCATACTATATCAACATGGCAAGATGAAATTACCAAGACAAATATCGGAGTAATGGAAGTAGTAACGATATCGGTGATAGTAGGAAAGACTAAAGATCAACAATATGATTCAAGAATAAGAGATAGATTTGCGGAATGGAAAATACAAGATAAGACCAAAAGACTCAAAATCTAAGGAACGATAAATAGTGTATCTATCTAAACTATTCCAACAGATTCTGAGCCATGACACCCAGTCTCCATTGATTGATTACAATAGTTGGGAAAATATCAACCAGGTAATCTGAAGCAATCAACATGTGTCAATACAATATATGATGACTTCATCAACCGGTCGCCCGTCTTAGTTTGTTCGCTCCTAGTTTTCTCATACACCACCAATCAGTACATCCAGATAGGTGAAGGCTAAACATATGTGATAAATGCACCAAATGTATCAGTCGACGGAGATTCACTACTTCATCAACCAACTAGCGCTCTTTACATAATACCATGTGTCTAATCTCAGTATCGTTCTCTTGAAGGTCCAAAAACTGATGAGAAACGTTTCAAAGGCATCTACGACAAAATAGTGATAATCTACAAATACCATATAATGTTAAAAACCATGCTTCACAGACATTAAGGAAAATAAAAGGAACTACGAAAAAGTATTCTTGTGTTGTAGCTGGTAGACAAACATACCCAACCCATAGGTGATTAAATTAAGTACAAGCCAAGAGGTTTTTTCTGAATGTGTTAATATGTTTCCAGACAACAAATCGCCAGGGCTGATGGGGCTGTCAATCTTCGTTGGATTATTGCGCAAAACTCTTTATTCTCATGGAATTTATTCAAAATCACCCTTACAGAAGAGGATCCATACAACCATACAAAAAGCCTACTTGTAAGGACTGTCAACAAATTATTCTGGTGAATACAAGTTGACTGTATATATTACTACAATTCAAATTCTAAGATAAGTGTGGTCGAAAATAAGGAACGATATACAATATTCAAAGTGCTCCATTCTCACGATGAACTGATATGTACGGAACTTTCGTGTCTTTTATTACAAACATTCTAATATATATAATCCTAAAATGATAGGATCATGTAAAAGTTATCCGACCCTCATGTATCAGTTAACTAAGACACTCCAAATCCCTTGATATCAGGCCCAAATGAGTTAACATACCATCAGTTTGATATTAACTCCTAATTCTACAGAAATGAGTTAACTATATTTAAGTTTTGATCTGCTCAATTACTAAATTTGTCACGTCTATGATATATTACATTTCACATAACTATACAAGGCAAATCACTGACTACTTGAGTCTAGGGAGTGAAGTAATTGAGCGTGTCGATCGCTTCACTTATCTTGGAAGTCTCATCAGCCCTTGTGGTCTGGTATGTGACGAAATCTCAGCACGGATACAGAAGGCTCGGCTAGCTTTTGCCAACTTGCGTCATTTATGGCGTAGGCGAGATATCCGTCTATCAACCAAAGGACGTGTTTACTGCGCAGCAGTTCGTTCCGTCCTACTTTATGGCAGTGAAACATGGCCGGTAAGAGTTGAGGACATTCGTAGGTTACTAGTATTCGATCATAGGTGTCTTCGAAACATTGCTCGTATATCATGGGACCATCGAGTAAGTAACACAGTTGTTAGGAAACGGGTACTGGGTAAGGATGGCAAATCAATTGATGAAGTGGTGAAACTTCATCAGTTGAGATGGCTGGGACACGTGTTACGTATGCTCAACGACCGACTGCCTCGACGTGCGATGTTCAGTGGTATAGGAGTAGGTTGGAAGAAAGCTAGGGGCGGCCAGACCAAAACATGGCACAAATCCATGAAGTCACTGACAAGTGGTCTGAGTCATGTTGGTAGGTGTAGACTACCTGGTTGGGGACCGCGAGATGATAGCAACCGACGGTTAGAGACCTTGAATGACATGGCTCAAAATCATTTGCAATGGCGCAGGTGCATCCACTCTTTGTGTTCTCCCAAATTTTGATCTCCTGATTCCCCCTTGTCTCTTTTTTTCTCTTCCCAAGTTTATTTCACTGTATTATACTCTTTAAGTAACATCTCCAAACACTAATCTTTCCGATTACTGCTTATACTCTTATTACCTCTACCACTACGGGATTTGAATCGACCACGGCATCTCTGTGCTAATGTGGTATGGCAACTCGAACTGATGTACGTACGTACGAAGTTCTACGTTGTTACTGACTGACTGACTTGAGTCTAAGAAAGTCGATAGTGATTACAATATTGCGGTAAAATATTTTCCATACATGGATTACTCGCACTTGGTTATCACTACTCCTTATTAACAAAGTGTGATGAGCGTGCAACTCTTAACAAATAATGATATACGTTTACTGAGAAACCGTATAGGTGAATAAAAAAATATAACTTCATAAATTAATATATTCAACTTACATCAACCTCACCCTGGTCGATTATGTAGAAATTATCACCTTCATCTCCTTGCTGAATAATCACATCGCCTGAATTACGATGTACAGGGAACATGGCATCAAATATATCACTAAATAAATGTAACACCAGATTTTAGAAAGTCAATCGAATAAAAAGTTGCAAAGTAAAAGATAAGTTGAGCGGATAGCTTTTTCCAATTTATAAAGTCTTTAACTTAAATTGGACAAAGTGGGCCCACCAGAGCTAGTGGATGAGTGGCGAAGACTTTAGAATCTTCCTGTGTAAAAATCGTAAACATGAATTCTTATTGTAACATCACCTTATTTAACTTGCTGTTTTGCTTTAGAATATAATTACGTTCCTGTACAAGCCGTGTTCTGATACAAGAACCAGTTGAGTAGACTAGTGTCCGAAAAATACTAGGCAAACGAAGTAATTGGGTTGAATAAGCAAGACTTTAACACGCATAGATAAACATAAGCAAATGAACGTATTTACGCAGACATTATATCACAATGTAGGCATGATCTGCACATTTATGTCCATCTTATAGGTAGAAAGTTAGATCACGCTCCAGTTACTTTATGTCTTTAATTACAAATGAGAGTTCTAATACGACTGTGCATATAAATAGAGTCCGCCACACAGACACACACATAACATAGTAGGGTAGAAAAAGAGCAAGGAGTATAGTCTGTTTCCCATATATTTTCAAACAACTCAGTCAGAAGTTCACCGCTATCCTCATAAAGAATCTGGGATAGATCCTTTGACCCTAATGACCTATGGCGGTTCACAAGCGAGAGATCCTTGGAGACCTCCGCCTCGTTGGGGGGACAGTCGTCACCGACTAGGAAGGACAAATATCTAAGCGATGCTGTTGGGGTGACAGACCAGCCAAATTGTTCCTCAAAAAAACCCTGTCCACTGTCCAAAATACCGTTGAGTGTTACCAACAGAAGTATCACCGGCTTCACAGATTATTTCATTCACAACAGACTTCTCGTTACCAGTACCTCGGGTGGGTTGGAACAGCTTCCGTATCGATCTGCTGCTTCCAACTCCTTGGAGCACCCAGACAACCGGGCGTCACGGTCCTTACATAAACTTCGCACAATTTCACTACGCAAGAATCTACGTTTATCGTCAAACTTTCGGTTGACCGAAGTAGACAGACGTGCCTCGAGGAATTGTAGGGAACCTGTAGAAACCTAGTGCCTATGTATGGGGAGTTTTGCGTAGCCACAAGAGACTTTACTTGCCATTTTCATAGCATTATGTAAGTGCAGTCAGTGCTCATCTACACTTTTCGGTGGGTTGACAGCTAGACTTGAATCTAGTTAGGTTTGATATGTTTTACGATTGGCGTTACAGTAGGTTTGCTTACATTATCTCTTCTACGACAATGAATTTACCGACCACTGAAACGTCCAAAGTTCAGATAAGTACTCAAAAAGGGGCGCCAGCCTTGTACACAACCACTCCAGTCAGTCAACTACAACATAGGACCAGGCATATATATGCATCGGTCTAAGTTGCCACACCTCATTAGCACAACAAGATGAACACCGAATTCATAGAAGTAGTTACTTCAATGGTAGTAATATATAAAAGGAAGACTGGGTATAAGGATATAATACAGGAAGAAAGAATTAGTTCGTAGAAACATAGGTATAAGGCAACCACTCCAACGGCGGCTGGTCGTGATGTGATCGGTCTGAGTCTAGACTTAGGTTGCAGAGGGATGGCACCAGGTGGCACAATGGGGATGACTTTACTGAAAGCTGATCCTGACCAGAAACAGATTGTGGTCTGTGCAAAACTGTAGGAGACAGTCGGCGTTATCTGACCTGAGACCGAGTCCTCATTGGCCACCCAAACAACTCTCCTCTGTGTCTAGACGCCTGGTTTCTGCATTCAAATCTCAGGCTAGTACTACAATATTTGTCGAATGGGCTTTCTTGAGACCATTTAACTTGTGGTAGAACTCATCCTTGATAGCGTTGGGACTGCAAAATGTCGGGGTGTAGGCGGAGATGACTAAAAGATATAGTTTTCCATACCGATTTCTTCTTACTTTGATGAAGCTTTCTAATCTAACAGTATATAACCCGGTGTTAATGGAGATCCAATCGATGGGTGCTGATTCTAACATGGCATATATGGTGACACCAAAGCCAGAAAAACCGAACGAAGATGCCACAAGGTTGCCGAATAAATGCACATGAAACAAGCTGTTCGAATCGACAGATGGCCAGTCAGTCAAACGCAACGTAGAACCTGGCACGTATGTACATCGCTTCAAATTGCCTCACCTCACTATCACAGCAAGTTAAAATTATTATGTCAAATCACAGAGTAGGAGAATTAGTAACAGTATCAGTGGTGATAGGAAAGATTAAGCATCAAAGATATGATTCAAGATATAAATTGGTGAAACAAAAAAGTTATGACGAATTCAGAAGCTCGTGATAGGAAGAATGGTAAAGAGTCGATGCACCTGCGCTATTGTGAACGATTTGAGCCATGTCATTCAATTTTCTTACCACTGTTTACGACAATCACGCGAACCCAAATCAGGTAGTCTACACGTGTTAACATAGTTCAGAGCAATTGTCAATGACTTCATGGAGTGATGCCATGTTTTGGTTTAGCCACCCCTAGTTTTCTTCCAACTTACTACCATACTGCACAACATCGCTCGTCGAGGTAGGCGGTGGTTGAGTACGCGTAACATGTCCCAACCATCTCAGTTGGGGAAGATTTACTACCTCATCAATCTATTTACCATCTTTGCCTGGTACTCTGTTACTAACTCTGACAATTTGTATTCGGTGTTCCCAACATATAAAAACGATGCTCCAAAGACATCTAGCCAACGAATACCTTCTATTCCTAAAAGTCATGTTCCACCCATTAAATAGAACGAAGAGGACTGATATGCAGTAAACTCGTCGTCTGTTTAACGGACGGATATCTCGCCTACGCCACAATTGACGCGAGTTGGCAAAAGCCGGTCGAGCTTTCTGAATGCGTGCGTGGATTTCGTTAGGCAGGTGACCATCAGGACTGATGAGACTGGAAAGTGTTATCTATTAAAGGACATCTATGACAATTTAAAAGTGTGGAAGTTACACAACCATGACGGATGTCACTTAAGGTAACCAATATCGATAGCAGTTCTCCATATGCTCTGACTCGACCAGTAATGTTCGAACAGAGAGCCTGTGTAAGAACAAATTACTTTTTTTGATACGCCTTTCCATAGTAGACACTGCCACAGTACTTTATGATCAACTGATGCTGTGGGTATCCACAGTACGTCGATGAAGCTTTAAACGAACAACAGACGTCGATTTAAGGCTTCCCAAAGACACAACGAACCTATCTGTTGTTCGATCTGCATTAGTGTGTGAACGTTGGACACCAGTTTGAATAATACACGTGGTTTCAGGAAAGCAGTGTCAGCATCGAATTCAACGGAAACACTCATGATTTCGAACAACTAGCGACTTGACGGCGTTTGAGAACGACATAACTTTCAGCATAGGCATGTCTTTGAGTGAGTCGAAAACGCGGATAAAGAACAAAATGAAGACACTATAAAATAAATTCAAGGGTATCTATGCAACTTCGAAAACAGGTAGAGTGATTTCGAACCGTAAATCGAATGTTTATTAATAATGATCATTATAAATGTTTGTGTGAAGTGGGATACTCCCAAGGTATAAAGGCTAAGCAGGTGGTTTCCTTAGACTACTCAGAGGGCTGTGACCTAGAGGTTTAATCCACAAGTAATTGAAAAAAACATTAGGTTTCGTCCCATGTTAGTCTGTAACCGAAAATAGTTTCATAAGCGATTCCTTCCTACCGGATTCTAGAATCCATGTGCATCACTGGTTTAGAATCGGAGTGAAACTTTCCTGTTCACCAGCCCGGTTGAGTCGCCGGACATCAGCCCTTCATTTCAATCTTGTAAACAACACTAGAACAGCGCATAAATGGTAAGAGTTTACTTGCACAGGCTATAAACGAATAGACGTATGGGACCAATTCGAGAGGGGGGAAGGAGGATTCTCTCCAACCTCGGTTGTACCAGCGTATTTGAGGGCGTACTTCAGTCAAATTAGCCTGGTAACACCTCTGGTTTTCAGTTTAGAATTCATCAATAAAAAAGGACATGAAACAGGATTTTTATATCATTCCGTAGAAAAATCACACGAAATACAGTAATCGTTTATTGATGAGACGCAGACAAGCACAACAACCCAGAAACTGATACCGTTTAGTACTATTTTATACTAAAATTCAAATCTAACCTATCTAATTCAAAATAAATTCGATCGACTGTTATCTCATTTTTTAAGTACCATATATTACAATCACAGGTCATTATGGAATATGAGAATCGGGTTAGAAAAGAACGAAAATAAGTTGTACGTTCACATAGATCCTACCTGAGTTCCTAGCAAATTATTTATAAGAAAGGTGTGTACTACTGTTTTGTTTCGGCGAGAACCCTCCTTTCCCTGTGACGTTTGAGTGAGGAATGTTTGCATAAGTTCATGTTCAAACTATAACCGTTGGAGTAAATTTATCAGGGCTGAAATCATAATCAGGATTATATATATATATATATATATATATATATATATATATATATATATATATATATATATATATATATATGTATATATATATATCCCTAATTACTTAAAAGACCATGTGATTATGTCATGCATAGATTAAGATATACCTGAATTTTTTACATTTACAGGTCGCATTTGATTACACCTTATTGAAAACACACTCGTCCAAACTGTTCAGCTGCTCAGTCACATTCCTATTTCTAAACTTTGTTTGTTCCTAACACTAGATGGTTAGTTTTAGTAAACAAAACGAGGAATTGTTAGTTGGGATTATTAGATAAGTTTGTTTAACTAAATATGAACTTGAACTTTACGTCACTCTAAGATTGTGCATTTCACATTTGACTACCGGGTTACTTACCACCAATCGTAACGAAACAAAAACGTAGTGTTCTTGATTAAAAGACAAAGGTCGGCTACATACTACAGTGCTTCCAACATGTACATACTGCTAATAGGAAGGTTCGTAGTTCGCTTAGTGAAAAATTGATTTGAAGATTTTATTGACTGACTGATTGCAATTTTTTAACATAAACCGAGCTAAGAATAAAAATACATACCTCCTTTCCGTCTCATCTAAATGAGAAAATAGAACATTTTTGGCGATAGCCTTTGAAAGAGCTGTCATCGTTTTATAATCCTTCGGTACAACCTTATTGAAACGAAATAATGATAATATGTCGATAGTAAGAATGAATTTAAACAGAAAAATCACAATCAAAAGAACTTAGTAAAACTGAACTACATAATGACGCTATCATGCTAAATAAATATTCTGACGTCTTGATTATTGAAAAATGGTTTCGAACATTTATTCTCCTAATTTTATTGGTTGATATACTGTCGTTAGCTTTTATACTATAATTATGACAGGTTTTAATGCATTTGGCTATCAAATTTCGTTTGCTTTCTTTCTATTGTCTTGAATTTCTGCCGGAGTTGAGTTTAGCTGCTTGAATTTTATCCTTTTCCAAACTTTCCAGTTATATGGGTACAAAGGCAATATGGAGACTAGTAAGTTATGCTGGAAAGACCTAAATGGTTAGAGGGAGGTTTATTGAAGTTGTTATATAACTTACATTAATAAGTAAAACTATTCGAAATGAATATAGACGACAGAACATTAAGATGTAAGTAGTTGAGAGTCGTGATGATACACAATGACGTTACTAAGTGACAAAATAAAGCACTAAAATGTGATAAGATACTCCAATTATAAGCTGAGATTACAGAGATTATGTTAAGATGTGAAGCTTTATAAAGAAATGACATTGAATGAGACACACTTACCTTCTTAACGTAAGATGCAGCATCTTCTTCTGTATAAACTTCACCACTAACTGCTCCTCTTCGAGATCGACGTCTAGTTAAACTAACTCCGGAGGGTGATACAGCTAACAAACCTCTCGTCCCCCCACTATTTCCTCCATCATAACCACTTCCATCTTCATTCATATTATTGGATTCATAACTACTATCAACTTTCAAAGGAGTTTCGGTCAAACTTTTTTCAAGAGTGTTAGGAATAAGATTATCTGTATCACAGGAGCATCGATGGTTATTCATTTCTGAAGATTGCCCACAATTCTGAGAGCTCACGGAGGGAATAATAACACCAAAGCGACCACTCCCATGACTTTTAACTTCATGTTGGAAAGGGCGGCTGGAGGTATTTGATATAGGAAATGTGTGTGAATCTTCATTGAGTTCTGGGTGTTTATGAAAAGCGAACCCAGTTACATGACTAGTTGATGCTGCAGTACATTTTCCATTACAAACCTAAAAAATTGAACAAAATATAATAAGACAATAAGAAGTAAAATCACATTTAAATACCGGTTTATAGGTGATAAAATTTACACAGACTAACCTAAAACCCTGCATAAACACACTAGTTACATCTAACACATTTTAGTAACTCGGAAGACAGAGAGCGGATTTTGCTTTTTTATCATTTTATACAATTGAACCAAATAATCCGCAACTTCTTTATATTTCCTATACTGAATAACTATTCCATGACTACCTTAGGTAAAATTAATCATCACCTTAAGTTACGGAAAAAGTATTAAAATGACAGTGCGTAGACAGAAATATGTAGGAGATTAGTGTGATTTGGGGTAATCATTCCCCATACACTATATAATACCCAAGTGCGAGAAAGAAGGCTCTCGAACACTATCCTCAGATAATTTAACAAATTTAGATATTTAAAGTTTGTCTCACATAGATTGTCGTACTGTATTTTGTAGATAGTTAGCATTCATTATCAGGTACCTAAACACTGAGTTCTGTTGCTCAATCCTGAAACTAATGCTGATATTAAGAGGCTTAATGAAGGCTTTAAGTGTTAATTAAGTGGATAACAACCGCTTGAAACCTTCATTAAGCCTCTTAATATCAGCATTAATTTCAGAATTGAGCAACAGAACTGTGTTTAGGTACCTGATAATGAATGCAAACTATCTATAAAATACAGTACGACAATCTATGTGAGACAAACTTTAAATCACTAAACCTGTTATGCGGAGGCACATATAACCGCTAACTCGGTATAAGGACACACCTGCGTACTCATGGTTTTCACCACATCAACGTAATCATAATTATTGATCTTCGTATGACTACTGGTTGGGAGTGCATTGAGTGTTTCTAATTGGGTAGATTTGTCTGGCTACTTGCTGGTTAGTGCCAATAATCATACTTCAACTCAAACATATCAAGACAAATTCAACACAGCGGTTGCAAGACAAAAATGAGGATCCACCTTATTTCGAGGCTTCTCTCCTGCTGTTTATTAATGTATTTATGTTGACTTGTTTAATATCGTGTACAGTAAAAATAACATAACCTCCCTACCAAAAATAGGTTTCTGTATCGCACCTTGGGACTAGAAAATTATGCCAAAACTTTCATTCATATAACTAAACGAGTGGAATTTGATAGTCCCAGTCAATTAATTGTTAGGCTAAAATACTACTTTAAGCTTCCAATGATATTAACTAGGCATTTCATGTAAAGTTGAAGGTTTATGCGCAGGAATATTATTGACCAAATGTTACTATAGATATTTAGTGTTATAACTTGCCTCCAGCTTCTCAAAATACTCACGGAGAAATGCAATTGGATTACTAGGACGATGTAGGCACAAGTTAACAACGCAGTCTCTGAGAATTTCTTGCACATTATGCTGTTTAACATAATCCTCAACATCGCTCATAAACGACTCATCCTCCATTATCCCCAACTTCTCGGAAGCATCCGCAACTCTCGTAATGGCCGCCCGTTCGGTGTAAAATACTTTGTGACCGATCTTGTATCAAACGATTGATTTTTTTGAGCTCGCTTCTTGTTGTTTCGGTATACTTTGAAGTCTGCGTTAATTCTTAATGGATGTTAGTCTAGTCCCTCGACTGCACTAGTCCCAGTCAATTCGATAGATATTGGTGGATTTGTTTCACGTAGTCTGAGCGGGTGTATTTGTTTCAGAGTAGTAAGGTTTCTGGAAAGCAGAAGATGACACGTCACGAGATAAGGGGTTGATTGGTTGAAATTTGGATACCAATAAAGAGAAAATCAGGATGTAGCAAAGCTAAGAGCAGACGATTGTCTAACGTAAGCAAAAGGTGACCAGCTAATAATGCAGATGGAGTGAGCTGTCCACAATCAAAGAGCAAAGGCGTAAACGTATATGATAATGAGAGAAATAAGAATCAGCTAATGACAAGCGATAATGATAGTAGTCAGTAGGTTATGAGACATACATCACCTACAGCTAGTCTAAGGGGAAGATGGTAATCTATGCGTGAGTGCGTGTTAGTAAAGTCTTATCTCGAGGCTATCCACTCTGTGGAGTCAATGTTCTTTTAGGTTGAGAGAGCATCTTAAACAGGAGGAATTGTAAATGAAATAAGCGAGAGCATATCTGGATGTGGTGTTTGCACGCATTAATGATTCCTTTGTACTTAATGGCCCACTGATTACAAATTCCAAATATAATATGTCCATTCATGCTCATATAGTTCCACTTACCCTACAGTACACTATTCTGGGAATTCCTATTTATTACATTGGTTCGAATACTTCTAATTATCATTCTGGGTCTTCGTTTTTTGATGTCCAATTTTTCGGTGGTTACCTCACGGCAGTGATTTCTGGTAGGATGTTCTTCTTGAGACGACCTGAGGCACTTATTATGTTGAGCGTTTTTATCAGGTCATCTCTAATTCTCCCATAACCCAGATTTATCTAAGAGTTTATGGTCTATCTTTTCAAGGTTTGTCCCTCAGGTCAATCATCCACTTAGTTCCTTGTCTACGTACGTGCTCTAAGAGATTTATATATATAATACACATTTTATATGATAAAAATTTACAAAAACGCTTTTTACTCAACCGTTTTACTTTATATTACAACTGGGGAAGAGCAAGTGCGTCTGAGCTATTACTAAATCCACACCAAGTTAATTTGTATGGAATACAAAGAATAGAAGATTTCAAACTGTTGCACTTTTGATTGTATTTATTTACTGGATTTATTAATAGTACATTATCAAAACTTCTAGCCTATAGCACCCCAAGTCCAATAGTGGTAAGAGACGTCGTTATCAGAAAATGGTCTATAGGAAAATTTTATGAAGCAATTTAGTAACTCGGCTGAAGAAGTAGTAATATCGGCTGAATTCGTGATTTGATTTGCTCAGATTGGATGAATGTTAAGTTTACGGAAACACACAAATCTGATACTAATATCCTCTAACACATAGTACTTATTTGATAGAACAGAATTCTACCACAAAAGAAACCTAATAAGCATAATGCAAATTATTGAAATCAATATATGTCTCCATAGTAGTAACTGAACTCATACGACGGACTACAGTGCAAAGTCGTGCATAGAGGACAACTAACAGACGCTTTCCAGGTGAGGACCAGAGTCAAACAAGTATACTTACTATCTCCCTTTTTCCTTCTTCCGGTAATCGAATGGATTATGAGGACCTAGAAACCTGAGAGGAAACACGGAATACAACGGACACCTCGCAATCAATCAGAACATATAAACTTCGCAGATGACCTGGCCCTTCTATCACATGCACACGAAAACATGCATGTCAAGACAACCAGCGTATCAGAAACCTCTGCATCAATAGGCCAGAACATATACAAGGGAAAATCCAAGATTCTCAAATACAACACAGGACACCAACCCAATCACACTTGATGAAGAAGCTCTGGAAAATGTGGAATCTTTCAAGTATCTGGCCAGCAGCACCGTCGACGAACGTGGAGGGTCCGATGCAGACGTAAAGGTGAGGATTGGCAAAGCAAGGGCGGCATTCCTACGACGGAAGAACATATGGAATTCAACACAACTGTCAACCAATATCAGTCACAATCCTCAATACGAACGTCAAGATAGTTGTGCTGTACGGATGTTGGAGTTCGATAGGACATACATTGAGGAAATCACTGAAATGAGCCACAAGGGAAGCCTTAACTTATAATCCTGAAGGGAAACGGGAGAGAGGAAGACCGAAGAACACATTGAGTCGGGAATTAGGAGGTGATAACAGAAAATGAACAGCATATATAAACAACTGGAAAGGACTTCTCAAGACGAAGTTTGATGGTTAGAGGCCTATGCACTTCCTCAATGCTGACAGGCGTAAGTAAGTAGTAATAGAAGAAAAAACTCTGCGTACTTACTTCGATGAAGCTATAGGTGAAAGAAAACTTTTAAAAACAACGGTGAATGAGTAGGAATAAAGGCTAGTTGTATATTAGCACATCAATCTGTCATTATTATGATAAAACTTATGCCAAAATTGTAGATTTGTTATGATGTGACTACCCGATCTATAAGATCTTACATGGGAGTCACATCATTGTCTGTTTTGACTCGTCTTACAGTGACAATCAGCAATACAATACTTATCGCTTTTGAAGAACACATTTGGTCCGGAATTAGAGTATTATATTTGATGTGAATAGAAGTTAATTACGCAGAACAGCCGCTCCTTCAAGGCCGAGCCATGCTCGGCGCACACTTGAAAATACAATCGAAGAACAAGAATCCTCCAGGTATTGGGAAACGGAAAGATAAATCGTAAAGAAGGCGGAAGCAATTGATTAAGAAATACATTTTATTTACACGCACAAAATGAGAATCTACGTCAAAATTATTCAAGAGTTAAACAAAGTGAGGTTATGATAATTAGGAATGATTTGGTTTAGAGTTATTTTAGCAAGCAAGAAATGCCGTTGGTTAATTGCTTAACTAGTGGGCAGTACAAATAGTTTGTGCCTAATAATAGAAAAAACTCAATATTGTAGAAATGTTGATATTAGTATTATATTTGGTTCATATTAGAAAGTCAGCTGATGTTTATGTCAGCAAGTTGTCTGCATGTGTTATTTTCACCAGCATTGGCATGAGTAAACTAGCTGAAGGAATAGAACTACAAACGTTAAGAGGAAGAAACCCAACTAGTGTCCAAGTTAGTTAGTTAAGCTTGATTTGGTTTATTTTGTTACAAAGAGATTTTCCCGATCTCATTTTTGCTTAATCGTGATAGGGTTGACTAATGCTACTAATACGTATGAATTGTTATCACAAATTCATTTAATGCGTGAAAACACTGATAATTGTGAGAATCTCGGACAAACGGCTGACGTTAGTTCGTTCAACATAAATGCATCCTTGAAAGACATGCTATGTATTTAATGTCCTCATGGGCAATTAACCAATTTTTTATATTCACACATAGTGATTGTTGGTCTATACAAATCATTTGCACGTATGAAATTTGAGATAATACAGAGATCGGTTTGTATGAAGTTTATTGATTATAAGCTGTTGAAATCAAATAAGCTTATCTACCACAAATATGGATGACATAGTGTTGTACGATGCTTCCGGCTGAATACGTTTCTTTATGGTGATAAACAGTAAGTAGTGTTCATGTGATTTACAATCGGGGCATAAGCTGTAAACAAGGGGAGTACCATTCCAAACTCATGTCTATGATAATGGCATGAATCTCTGTTAATGTTGTGGTAAGTTCGACAGTGATGTTTTAAGGTTGTGGGAAAATTGCTTAACTGTTGATGCTGATGGTTTACATTCACTATTGTGCCGCTAAACTTCCAATTAGACGACAAGGTTCTAAGATATTTACTAAAGGAAGAAGTGATAGGGAAACATACTGAATTCGTAGATAATAAATAAAAATAGACACGAAAAGATAACAGAATGTAATAATAACTGTATGTCAACATGCCGACAGAGCTTGTGAATATATTAACCAGTTTTATCAGTTATATTACGTGATTTTCCGGCTATGATGATGCCTGCTGATGATATCCAGAAACTATTATCAATAATTATTTATAGTATTGATTAAGGATTAGCTATTTAGAAACAGATTTTGTTGGTTTTACCGATTCGGAAGTACCAGAGTTTTGTGGCGTTAACGAATTCGAGGTGCATGATTATACTAAAAATATCGATCCAGGTATATTCTTTCATTCAGTGTTGCTCTTAATATTGAGCTCCAGAATTTTTTATTTTGAACACTCGCTTGATGAATAACTACGTTGTAGTCTGGCTATTATATCAGTGCAGTACAATAATGCCTTATTACTGTGAGTTTATTATCTTAATTATGACTATCCGATGGATAATATTATAAATTAATAAATGACGATGAAACAAACAATACTTTCTATTAGCGGACCATAAAATTTCAGGTGAAGTGGAATAAATTATAGATTGTCACCTTGTACCTTAACGTGAATTTTATCTAAAGAAATTACGTACGGTCTGGCATGGACGCTTAGTCTCCTTATAATCATTTAAACATGTGATAAATAAGTGCGAAGTTACAAAAACTAATCAGTAAGATTCCGTAGAACTGTGAAATTATTTTTCATAAGTTATGTTATGAACTTGATCTGTCTTCTCAATCATATAAAATAATAAACTTGACTCGACCTGGAATAAGCCCTTGACATGATAGACAAATTGGTCTATCTTTAGGCTAAAAATGCGGGAATCCAAATTGTGACTAACGGCCTTGAGCGTACAGACGAAAATCCTTCCATCATAAAGAGAGCAAGAACGAAGATTGTTGTGGAATAATATGAATTTTATTTCGCTAGCCTCTCATCAGCTGCTTACAACCGAAAATGTTTGAAAATCAACGTAACTACAGATTTTGAGATACTTATGCAAAAGAGGGTGAATAAAGGTGCATGTATGTATATGATGTAGTGAAGATTTCGATAGAGTTG